CCAAGGGCAACGCCGCCTTTCGCTCTACATTGTCCGGCTTCTTTGTAACCCTCATTTCGACTTGCCACGCAGCAGGCCTCTTGTACAGCGATTTGGCGATCCTTGAGAACATCGAGGTATGGGTACACACAATGTCGTCCTCCACTCTTCGACCTTTCCGGCACACTGCGACTGTCATAGCCCTCACCATTGGAAGTACGCTTTGTACCGTCGCAGCAGATATTGCCGACAATGCAGCGAAGACGATGAGGCAGAAGGAAGGCGAGCAAAAGAAGAAGAGCGTGAACAAGGAGCGTGTCAAGGCTTTGGAAGCAAAGATTGCAGAGGGAGACAGACGGCGCACTCAGGTGCTAGATAGCATGAAAGATTTATTCGATGCTGTCTTCATTCACCGATATCGAGATGTCGACCCAAAAATACGCCTTGAATGCGTTACGGCCTTGGGAAATTGGATCACCACACTTCCAGATGTTTACTTCGACGGCATGCATTTACGCTATTTAGGATGGGTCTTGTCCGACATTTCTACGCCGACCCGAGCAGAAGTAGTCAAGCAGCTTGGAAAGCTGTTCAAGAACAAGGACAACACGCCTCGGCTACGCACGTTCACTGAGAAATTTCGCTCGCGAATAGTCGAGATGGCCGTTCGGGATTCAGAAGTCAGCATCAGGGCATCTACCGTGGAGCTGCTAGACATGATCCGGAAGACTGGGCTATTAGAACCAGATGATATCGATATTGTTGGGAGGCTGATTTTCGACACCGAGCCTCGCGTTCGTAAAGCGGTCGCCGGCTTCTTTGCTGAGAACATCAACGACTTGTATGAAACCACATTCGAAGACTTAGGTGGCGAGGAAGGTCTCGCTGACATACTTGGAGAAGAAGTCGAAGACGACTTTGACATACCAAGATCAAGCTGGCTGAAGCTGAAATGTGTTGCAGAGGCGTTGCAATCTTACGACGCCGAAGATAATGAGCAGGATTCAGCATCGAGTGAAGCCGCTGGTGGCGGCGGTCTGATCGCAACCGGTGTGGACTCTCGATATGCGTTGGCAGCTCGCACTATATATGATGGTATCTCTATTGCAAGGGAATGGGAAGTTTTGGCAGGGTATCTCCTCTTCGACCTCTCCAGTACGGATCAACCCTCGAAAGGCGCCGATGCGACATTAGAATCCCGTTGTAAGCTGAATGAGAAGGAGACAATACTTCTCCTCGAAATCCTTAATGTGGCGGTCAAAGCCAGACTTAGCGAGGCTGTTGAAGCTGAGACCGACAAAAAGGGCCACAAGACGAAAGCACTGAAGGAACAGTCTCGAGGGATCCAAGAAAGTACTGCGCTACATTTGGCCAAAGTGTTGCCTCAACTACTAAAGAAATTTGGTACAAACCCTGGTACAGCTTCCGCAGTTCTACGACTGGGACAGGTCTTGAATTTAGAGATATTCCAAGAGCTACGTCAAGATTCAACAAAATATGCTTCGCTTCTGGATGACATCAACAAACAATTCCTCACCCATACGGACCGAGGCGTCCTTGCAGAAGCTAGCACCGCTCTTCTCCACGCTCGTAGATTCGAGGATTTGGAAGAGGTCACGGAAAGCAAAGTACAGGATTTATGGGATGATACGGTTGGTACCTTGCGGGCATTAATGAGTTCCCGGGAGGACGACAACATATCACAACTCTGCAGCACCGTTCGACGGATAGCGAATTTAGCCAGCATCTCCGACTGTGTGGCTGTGTTGGATATGGAAGGAAGTTTAGCATCGAAAAAGAAAGCAAGCCATCAGACGACCGCAAGCCCGTTGGATCTTCTCATGGAATTGATCCGTGATCCCGAGCTAGACAACGGAGCTGGTGAAGAAGCCGACGAGACATTAATTGGCGCCACAAAGGCGCTGCTGTTCTACACCATGTGGACCGTACGCTCGCTTCAAACCGCCATTTCTTCGGGCACCGCCGTACCAAAATTTCCCGACATCGCTCTGTTCGCTCAAAGCCTTGAAACACTCGTCGACAGTCGCCCCGCTGCCTCCCCTGTTCGTCTGGCGGCTGTCGGCACCTTGCTCGATCTTTACACTCTTTTCGCTACGTTCCGTCATGTACAAATCCCACCCAACTACCAGAATGCCGACGATATCCAGTCTCTTATTCGACATATCCCAACGTCCGCCGAATCTCTCATCTTGTCGACTTACACAGCCCTCGAGAAATCTTTCGCCAAGAAATCTCGCCGCACACTGGAAGCTGCGCCTGACGATGATCTCGCTTCTGATCCAGAGGATAGCTCGGATGACGAGGATGAAGACGACCCAAGTCATGCTCAACAGGATACCTTGATTGCCGAGAAACGGCTGTGTGAGATAGCGGGCAAGATGGTGCTTGCGATTGTTGGTCGCATTCTCGATCACGAAGGTCCGAACAAGGGCAAAATCAAAGAGCGTCTACAGCGCAACAAGGGGAAGCTCGGTAGCAATTTCAAAGAGGTCTTGGCCTATCTGGAGGGACCGAAGCCGAAGGGCAAGAAGAGAGCTCCTGCGAAAAGAGGGGGGAAGAAGGTGGTCAAACCTGTGGAGATCGAGGACGAAGACGAGGAGAGTGGGGAAGAAAGGCAAGTGGAGGAGGGAGGGGAGGAGGATTTGAGGGAGAAGGAGCTCGTGGAGGATCGGATTGTGGATCCTGATGAGGAGAGTGCTGAAGGAGAAACTGCAAGGGCAGGTGCGGATGAGGTCGAAGATGACAATGTCATGGGCGATTAATCATTCATACCATTGTGTGATTTTTTTTGAACAATTTTTTCCGGTGGTATTGTTCTACACGCTGGGATAGATATCCAACACTCTGTTTGTCCAAATGAGTGGCGCTTGTACACGAGACATGGAAGCAAGGAGTATGCCTATGGCGGTTGTCTTCTGGCGTGTTCAGGTATGACAGGATGTTACTCTTTTGCAATTTGTATGTAAGTTACACATCCCGTCGAGCTCTTTTGCAGACGTCGAAGCTTGAATAACCATCAGAGGTTACTGGTTGCACGGATATGCAGGAACAAATCCCGGCACCTTGGGAACGAATCTCCTCCAATCTTCGCGCCACCAGCCGTTGCCGGGTTTCGGATCGGTGGTCTGGACTCCTGGACCGTGGATTGTTGATAAGCGCACCTCTCTCCGTCGTTAAGCGCTTCTATACGCGACATTGGACCTTCGAATGTCTCTGCAATCGCTACGCTGGTTTTCAGCGAAGGCGGGGGGCAGTTTATCCTTTGTGCCAGCTAAGTTACTTGACAGCTTTAAGATGCATGGACCAGGAGGTTTGCGCCGACGATTACATGCTTCAGAAGGACCATGTCCTTGTTGGCTCATCTCCTCGTGGTTTCAACATGCCGCCGCCCTCCTTTCGAACTCGTGCTTGATGGTACTTTCTCACGCTTCATGTGCCTATGTGAGGGGCTCGCCTCCCGTGGGAATGGCAGCGTTCGAATGACTTTCCTCGAGGCCCCTCGAAGACAGGTGCCAGCTAGTCTTTTTCTACTCACCATCATTGATTGATTCAAGGTCCATTCTTGATCTCTGGCAGACCATCTATATTCATAATGCGTTACCAAACAATCTCTCTTGCATTCCTGACCTTGGTGTCGACAGCTGCTTCAGCTAGTGAGCCTACTCTCTCCCCTTAGTTCCCTGCCACTGATGTGCTCCTCGTTAGGTCTTCCTCGTGCCCATTGGCACCACCATAACGGTCAACCTAAACAGGCCGCTGCTGGCGAGAACACCGCGTATTCAGAACAGGGCTCGGTGGTGTTTCGGCCCCAGTGTCGCAGTCAGGCGGAGTCTCTGGATATGATGGTAAGGATCAATCCTGCGATGCCTCTCCAGAGACTTCGAGTGCTGACGATACTGTTGATCCGACAGAAGAGAAGGATTCCCAGCAGGCTGCTTCGACGAGTAGCGACACAAGCACAGCCGGAGGCGCTGATACGGCTGCTGCCCCAGTAGAGAAGACTTCCACAAGTGACAGCACAAGCACAGATCACAGCTCAAACAACATTGACTCGTCCAACTCCGGAACCAATAATTCAACTGGCGCTGCGGGCGCTTCAGTCAGTAGCAGAAAGGGGGCGGGTCTTTGGTACTTCAAGGAAATTGCGACAATGACGAGCGACATTCACGCTCCCTGGGCCTACGATTGGTCCGATGATCCACTGGAGAACTCCTTCAAAGGAACCGCCCCGGCTGGAGTTGACCTCGTAGCTATGTTCGATAGCACGTCGGATTATTCATCCCTGGCCTCGAGCTCCTACAAAGAAGTCGTTGGCTGGAACGAGCCAGACGCCACAGCGGCACCCGTTGATTCCGCAGCTGCTGCTCAAGTCTGGCCCAATATAGTCAAGACGGTTGGGAAGCGTATGGGTAGCCCGGCCCCTGCAAGTACGAGTCTCACGCAAGGAGACTGGTTCTATGATTTCATGACCAGCGTCATCAAAGCCGGCAGCCCGCCAGACTTCATCTGCTTGCACTATTATTCCCCCAACGGTGACGTGTCCAAGTTCCAGAGCTACATCGAGGGCGTATACAACATGTACAAGCTCCCGACTTGGGTCACCGAATGGGCTTATGTCGATTACAGCAAGGATCCGGCAACGGTTCCAAGCACTGCAGAACAGGTGGCTTATATGCAGGCGGCGGTAAAGATGATGGACGAGTTGAGCTATATCGAACGCTTCGCTTGGTTCGCAGTGCCATGGAGCAGCGTTCAGCCGGCGAGTAGTCTGTTCGATGAGTTCGGGAGTATTACGCCCATGGGGACTGCCTACGCAGCTCTTTGAATGAGACGGCATGGCATCGTTGACTATCGGTTCTATTCTTCATGTTAAATGATTGAGCTTGACGGTGGACAAATTGGATTATATGAACACTGACATACATACCAATACTGCTCTGTCCTTTATATTCAGACTTGCAGGAGGGCGGTCTCAGTTGCAATGGCACGAATCCAACTGTTCACCGCACGAACATCAGACCCCCATCTCCGAACTCTTGACCCACACTGCCCTCTTCCCTCAGCATGCTCCCCAGCCATTGTTTTGCCCCTTCGACTTCCTTAGCCGCAAATTTGACAACAGTGCAGCCCCTCACATGGCAGGCCGTCCATAGCACACCGTCCTCTTTCTCCCTCAGCAATCTCTCCTTTCTCCACTCTTCCTTGGCCGTAAGCTTCTGTACGGCATCATTCGTACTAGCCCAATCCCTCCCACCAATCCTCGGCAGTGCCTGAAACTCTTCCACAAAAAAGTCCGCAAGGGCTCTGAAGAGTGGGCCTCGTAGCAGCACAGTGCCGAATACTCCCATGGCATCCATCCTACCTTGTATACCTTTCCCATCAAGCACAACGGCATCCCTTACAAGCATCCTCTTCTTCTGCAACCCCTCGCCATAGATCTCCCATATCTCGTTCCTACCCCTCCATCCTTCAAACGCCCAGCTCTCGCCCCTCGCCTTCCGACCCTCGTTCACCCAGTCGACGAAGCCTACACTACCTCCGCCCTCAACGTGAAAGATCTGTTTCTGCGCGTAGAGACTGCCGGCGAAGGGCTGGACGGGGTCCGGAGCTATCCACAGCGCCGCATGACTGGACACATGGACGCCGAGATCCTGGCGCGTGGTCGGCGGAGGCACCGTGGAAGGCTTGAAGATCTTCGTGCTACCCTGGGTCGTAAGGGTCAGGCGCGTGCCCGGGTCGAGACGGACGGAGAGATCGATGCGGTCGCCGGCCACGAGGCCGCCGCCGTAGGTGAGGAGGAAGAGGAGCGGGACGTTGGCGGGCGGGTGCGACGCATCTGGGTCCGGCGGACGCGGGGGCCCACGGGCTGGCAGTCTGTGGGGACGCGAGGGGAGGAGTTTCAGGGGATAGGTGTAGGTGAGGGTGGAGAAGGCGGGCGTGGAGGGTGGGAGTAGGGTCAGATGAATGCTGCCTTGACCGGGATGAGAGGAGGTGGAAGGGAACGGCGATGGCATCGGAACCTGCCCTCTAGGATGCCAATGAAAGCATGGACGAAAGCACCTCGGTTTTGGCAAACAGAAGAGGGCTGTCTGCCGCAAGAAGGGGGTAAAGGGAAAATTGGCTTGCTTTGTCGACGTCTACTAACAGCTGTCACCAAGGTGTTGTTTTCCGAAGTATACTTAGCAAACGTCAAGAGCTTTCAGGCCAGTGGTAGGCTGTAAATGATGGGCCTGATGTTTATGGATACAATAATATTTGTCCAACCTATTCTGGATTTCGCATTCATCTATCATGATGCTGCCACGGTCTACCGGCGCCAATGCTATGCAATCGCCATTGAGGTCTCGCAGACCATTATGAAAGCAGATCGCTCAACTCGGGTATACACACATGCCCTGGATGGGTCTGTCCCATCGCGTATCCCATTTTACCTACATCGACTTTCTCCTCCCATCTGCTCTCGTCTTCCACTTTCGTTAGCGCACTTTCAAACTCCGTCATGATCAACTCTTGCGCCAGCTTTGCGCCAGTGCCTTCTTTGCTGATTTCGAAGCTCATACCGCCCCATGTTGCTAGCATAGAACCTTTGGCATGGATGCTTAGAGCACCTCCCCAGCCACCTGTGGGGTGGAAGGAGTCGGATGTGTAGGCGTGGGGGACGGCAGTCTCGTGGTGTAGCTCGTCAGGATCGGGTTTAATGTTGGGTTCGTCTTTGATCTGGGTACTTAACGGGGTTCTTGAAGCTGAGGATCTTGGAGCTTCAGCTGATACTGCCTTGTTCTTTTTCTTGTCTTCGGATTTCGATGTTGCTTTTGATATGTCTCGTAGGCTAGGTACAACAGGCGGAAGCTGGAACAAATAGACTTCTTCCTTCCCACCTCTCTGGAAATAAGTACCCTCGTTATCCATGTCCAGGTCGCCATCATCATCGGGAATTTTCGTAGAAGAAGCAAGCTCAGGACCGGAAGTATCCATAGGAACGTCGTTCTTTGTTAACACGATGTCCGCGATTTCTGCGAATATTTCGTCCTCTTCCTCTTCTTCAGAGACCTCTACTGGTCTGAGGCCGTGATAACCTTTGATCCTTCGAAGCCTCTCAGCAGAGTGCGGAAGGGGATCTCCCTCTGGCGCTGCTCCCGGACCTTCGAGCGATGCCTGGGATTTGAGAGTGCCGTCGCTGTCGCTCACAGTAGGCCGCGTAGATGTATTGGCAAGGTCAATGTCGTCGAGCGGAACTGGCTCTGTTTCCCCATCGCCCATGGACCTGTCAGTCAACATGACATCTCTGTCGTCTTTTGGCTCAGTTTTGATCTTGACGATGCCCTCCCGGTCGTCCTCGTCCTGATAAACACCCTTCCATTTTCGCTCATTACGTACGAACTCCACATCCTTAGGCTTCCTTTGAGTCTTGGGTTTCGTAGCTGACAAGACGTCCGCTTCATCCCCTTCGGGCAGAAAAAGGCTACCTCCAGCCTCAGCTCGGATTTTTGCTCTACGCCGTAATTCTGCCGATGTCAGAGAACTAGCGTCTGTATTTACACCAACAGCCCGCTCCACATGCTCTTGTCTTTGAATTCGGACAGGCATGAGATTGCTACCGGGTACCCGCGGCGTCGCTTCATGCCGCTTCCCTTTCGATATACGGGATTGCTGAACTGGCTCCTCATCCTCATCCTCAGATGAGACGAGGTTGATGATGTTGATATCTTCGATGTTGACTCGTTCTCCTCCATCAGAATCCAGCTCACCGTCGGAAGAAACGTAGGTTGGGCCTTGATCCTCCTTTTTGACTTTCGTCCGCTTTGGTTTGGAGGTTGACGAACTCATAATCACGTCTCCATCTCTGTCCTTTTCTGGCTTCACAGCGGGCTCCTTCTTGACGCGGGACGTACCACTAGTAGAAACTGCCTCGGACGAGCCTGCATTTCCTGCTCGAAAACCCCCGCCACGCCTGTTTCTGCTCATAGCTGCTTCCTGTATCGTACTCCCACCTAGATGCCCACTAGCTTCATGACTGAGATTGAACCTTTCGTTCTTCCATTTGCTCATGTCGCCAAAGCCTCCGCGCTGTCCACGTCCTCTTCCTCTGCCATAGTTTCCACCTCGGTCGCTCGTAGATGACGTTCCTTCTACGGCTTGCCTTGCTGCCCTTCGCACAGCTTCAGCCTTCTCTTCAGCTTCTCGCTCCTCTTTGCTGCGGCGGATGAAGGATTTGGGCTTAAATTTGAGACCAGTGGGTCGATTGTCTAAGCCATCTGCTACACTTGAGTTGGAAGCAGGGTTCGGTGAGTTTCGCGGCAAGGCAGATTTTAGTCGTTGCACCGAGCGTCTGGGAGGTGGAGAGCCCGCGACTACGGTCGGTGTGGATGCTGATACATCTCGAGAAGTGAAAATTTCAGGCTGTGTCTCTGGTACATCCGTCTGTTCTGCGTTGCCAGATCCAGATATATCTTGGACCTCGTTGTCATCGTTGGCCAGAGCTTCCTTGGGTGAAGGTGTGCTCAGAACGTCCAGGGACTCATACTCTTGTGTGGTGTCTCGATTTTTCCGAGCGGATTGCCTTGGACGTGGTATGATCTTTGGAGGCATTGTGGACGTATATAAGTGTATTGATATTTGGAAACTATCTGCTCGCACATTCTGACTAATGCGTCTTTTGTGCCTTATGATTGGTTGAGGGCAAGGATATATTTGTGAAGCGAGGTAAAACGATCATTGCCCACCTCGGACTAGTGCAGTTAAGGCCAGCGTTTCCGTGCGCTATGAGACATGCTTATTTCAACGTTCTGTCGATCAAACGAAAATATGCAAAGAATTAAAGTAATGTAATTGGATGGGCATCTAGAACCTTTACAGATAATCTACATTGTACATGTAGGTATTTAAATAATGTGTGATTGCTGATTGACAACTATCAAGATTCGTGTACAATCGTTTGCCTGTCCCTTAGAGCGCCCCCACCAAGCTTGCGCCAACCACAACCCTTTCTCCTGTCTGTCGCCTCTTTGCTCTCCGGTCATTGGCTCTTCATCAACATTACGCTGGCATCATGAGAAAACACGACAGACAAAAAATGGCTTTTGATAGCGAGAAAGAGCAAAACATGAGATGGCGGCCTAGCTTGAGACTCGGTAGGTCCGAAAGGAATGATGCTTATCCAACATGCCATCCGAGTAGTCGAAGAGAATCTGAATGGAGACAGCCATGATGGATGTGGACACCAGGTGTTGCTGCAAAGCGGATATTAAGACATATTGTAGAACGTTGAGCGCAGTTTCAGGCTCCATAAAGGTTTCGTAGCCGATAATACTTGGGTAGATGGTAGTGGCCCCTTGAGCATACTGGTACGAATTGCAGTAAGAACACGCGGCAAAGTCCCCCTGGAAACCGCAGTATCTTCGACGGTCGAGAAAGGTCTGATCCGAAAAATCGTCAATCACCATGCCATGTATACAGCCAAGCCACCCAAGCAAGTTCCGGAAATCTATAGTCCAGCGAAGCGAAGGCGACAATCATGGGTGGTTTGTTCCGGTTAACATCTGTGACGTGCCCCGCAATACCGCTCGGAACGTAGTCGAAGAAGCTCCTGCCCAACTACTAACGCTTTCTCTTCTTGCTCTTCTCCTGACCACCAGCCATACCATCCAGAATGGCACCTGCCTCTTCGGTCTCATTGGGTGTAGAGATATCCTGGGCGTCTTTCTTGACAGCCACACCCATGTGTCTCCCGAATCGACCTTTACGACCGTTACCTTCGTCTTCGCTGATACACCCTTCAGCTCCGATACCAGCATCTTTGCAGCGCTGGCAGGGGCGTTGACGATCGCACCCTTTCTTGCTCTTTCTGCAGCGTTGGCAGCGTGGCTTAGAAGACAAGTCTTCGTCGCCTTGGTGCTGGAAGTTGACGGTCGACGCAGAAGATGTCTTGCGCGAGGGGGGAGGAAGCGAGGCGGGTGAAGGAGGCACTTTAGCTGTAGAGGGAAGTGGAGACGGCTTAGCCTTCTTCGCGTTGGCTGTTGCCTTCGACTTGGACACCTTGGAAGTGTTCTTCAACGAGCTGACGCTGCTCGCCTTTGACATGTTGCGATGCCTCGATCCAGGTACTTTCGGTTTGACAGCTGGACCGAAACCAGTGGCCACGTCATCTGGCTCGCTCTTGAACAGTCCATCCTTCTTATCGTCATACACGTAGTCCCCGTCTACCTCGTCACCGCTGGGCTCGGTGCTATCCGTGCTGGGCAGGCCATCATTGAGGTGCTTGTGATGCCTTCTGATGGCATTTGGCCGGAGCACTGGGCTGGCTTCCAGCTTTGGCTGGGCTGGAAGGGCTGGAAGAGAAGGTCGTTCTGCATCTTCACCATCGTCCTCACTATTGCTGGTGGCGGATGAGGCAGCGTCAGCACGTCCACTGAATGCATCATCCAAGGTTGATGCCGAAGTGCGTCCGTGAGAGATATTTGAAGCGTCGCCGAGTCGCATGAGCTGCAAAGCCACATCCTCATCGGAGATACAACTGGCTATGGTCGGATCAGGGGTAGGCAGTATTCCAAAACCTTGTGCGCGAGGAATCATTCCATTGGACATGCGAGTAGATAGACTTGGTGCGTTTGCACGGTCACGGAGACGGCGTCCAGTTTGAGGTGCTGGAGGAGCATTGGAAGGATATTTGTTCTGTGGAATAATTCCGTACGTGTGCTCACCGTACCCATAGCTCTGTGGTGACTGCAGAGGCTGGCTGTAGGTAAAGTGTCGTTGAGTCGGGCGGGCGAATGGAGAAGGGTTGTCCTGTCCATTGGAGCGTCTCTGTGGAGAGATCGAGGATATGGAGTTAGGGGCAGGCACCTGAGGTGGCACAAACAGAGGTAGCTCCTGCAAAGTGCGTACGGTTAGCCAAGTCATGTGGACTAGGTGTCCTATCAGCTGTATCACTTACAGAGCTCTCAAACTTTGCCCTCTTCCTTCTGTTGCCCTCGAGGATGTTATTAAGACTGATATCTGCACTTGCGAGCTGCTCGCTTCTGGCTTTGCGAGAGCTGGTTACAGAGCCTCCTTCGCCATCACTACTGCTGTAGCCTTTCATGGTGTCGCTATTGAGATCGTTGAGCTGTCCTTGGAAGCTATCCTCCCGGCTTATCAGGCCCGATCGAGAACGAGCCTTTTGCGCAGAGACACTACGACGACCCCTGCTGGGACGTGGAGATGCACTCTGCTTTCGAGACACTCGGGATGCTGGTCGTGACATGGGTTGCCCATAGTTCAGTATCTGCGAGGGCTGAGGAGGGGGCATTTGAAAGCCTTCATCCAGATGAAGAAGCCTCTGTGCATTGATAGGCGATGCCGAGTGATTTTGAATGTGGCCGCCCTGCTGCCATGCTTGCGAGTAATCAGGAATGACTCGAACGTAGACGACCATATTATTTTGGAAGTTCTCATATCTCGCAATGAGTGTGTTCCCATGGTCATCCTCGAAACTGACGCCGTTTGCGGCACCTTCGTAAAGCCCGTAGAAATTCTTGACAGTGGTCACAATCGAGTCGGTGGTATCATGGGGAAAGATTTGCACCCTCATTGGCAATCTTGCTCGATGATTAGTGGCACCATCGAACAGCAGTTCGAATGCGACGTTCTTAGGCGCGGGACTGGCAGGGGAAACACTGTAGCCTGTTGGAGTATTGTTGCCGTAACCCTGACTGACGGGCGGGGTAGCGAAACGATGACCGTCGAGAGACATGTTATTGGACATGACAGAGTGACGTGTAGGGTATTGATGCAACCGCTGTGTCTCTGGGGGTGTAGTCTCCGCGGCCTGTTGAGAGCGAGAAGGTCGTGGAGGGTCATGGGATAGGAGATTGGCAACGTCCATTGTGGGACGCAGGTGTTTGGAAGATTGCGATGAAGGACTGTTGTCGGCAAAGAGTCTTGACTTGTGGCTGGAATGAGAAGAGGGATGGATCGGGCGGCCGCAAAGGCTCTGATTGATTAAGAACGACCGACTACCTAAGAAAATAAATGTAAGTGACTGGTCTTCTATACTATTGGTCGTATGTTGAGAGCCACAAAAGTAGTCGGACTGGTTGGGCAGTCATGGCCAGGCGACGGCTCGGGGAAGAGTCGGTTTCGCAAGTCAAGGGATGAGGTGCATGAAGAGGGTGGAGATTGCAAAATGTAATATTATGGATCGCATACCTAGTTGTAATCACCCTGCTCACACGAGAGGCTTCGGAAAGGATCTATGTTGCTGTTGATACCAGTCCCCTCAGATGTGTGTTGTTGGCTGCCGTCTTCAGTACCGAGTCAGCGTCAACAAAGACTCTGGAATACGAGAGCCGATGTTTTGACTTTATTGATGCTAGGCTCTGTGATCAAGATCCATAGGACGCAACCAAGGTAATGGATGGCTTGAAGTGGGGGAGACGTTTGTTGATGCGAGGGCGATGGGTTGAAGGAGAAAGAGAGAGAAAGAGAGAGAGAGTAGCAAGCGAACTCAACAAACCCTGCACAGCACCAACTGACTTATGCAATCGGCATAATCTGATAACAGACAATTCAAGGAATGAAATCACATCTCAGGACGGAGTTTGCCTTCAATTACTACGTTCTCTACTATTGTACATGGTCTATCTAGGGAAGCTGTCCTGTGCACAGGTAGGAAACGCCGGCCATGTCGAATCGGCATGGTCTGTAGATATACTTGTATATTTTGAGCATTGACTGGCAAGCGGCGGCCTCTACATAAAAGAGCAAGCTGCACGGATAGTCAGGCGGCGGAGATGATTGGGCCCGAATGCAACTGTCCCAGTGGGTAGAAGCTAAAAGTAATAGGAGGAGTCTCAGGTAAAGCGGAAGGTGGGTGGAAGTGGGACGCTGAAATGCAATCGAGCCAATGGTGATGTGAGGGGGCTGCATACCAGCTTGGTGCCAGCGAAATAAAGCCGCTGGTTGGAAATACCTTCCCTTGCCCGATACGAGTCAAGCTTATGCGCCGACTCCTTCCAAGTTGCAGAGAGTGATATTTATACCTCGACCGAAGCACCAAGGTCTTAGGTACAACGCTTGGCTTCTCCACGGCAAGCGAGCTCGAATGTCTTCCTCAGCATGCTCAGTAGTCAGTACTAATATTGTTACAGCGTATGCAGCCTCCAATTTCAATCTTCCAAAATCAAACATTCACCATACGATTGAGCGGTTGACGAATAATCCGGCCCGAGCTTGAAACGAGTCTCAATGCCATGCGCCGCAAAAATCCTGTCAGTCTCGGATACCCTAGGTAGATGTCCGAGAAAGTGTTTAGTGAGATAAATTGACCACGAGAAAGAGAGAGAGAGAAAGAGAGAGAGCAATCCGAAGAATTGTGCAGTCGCATTGGTGCAAAATGATGGCTTATTATTTCACAAGACTAAGCCATACTTACTGTATCACCAATGGGCCATTAGCAATTGGCAATAATTGATGGCTTTGATGCGCAGGATCTACACTCGCTCTCGCTACACGTACACTAGAGTACTTTTACTCTTAATCTTAAGCATGCCAAACATCGCTCGCCACTACTAACTTTTTTACTCCGCTGCCGCCGCAATAATAATATGGAGCAGCAGTAGCACGCCTAGAATTCTCCCCCCCCGATTTCCGCTTATTAGACCCTTGGGCTGATAACGACATTTGTGCACAACCATCGTGATTGCTTTTTCTTCTACAGCTACTTTCTTCCTACACAGCACATATTCGGTTAGATACTGGACATTTCAGTAAGCTACGCAATTGCTATTTGCCCTGTCTCATTCGACCAACCTCTCGTGTGGACCGGCAACAATACGCATCTTGGTCGCAACATAAGATAAAGGATCAAGGATGGGAACTAGGATTTTCCCAACTAAAGTATCTAATAAGTAGGTAGAGATGCCCGAGATGAAGAAGGTTTCGGGCCATGGGGTAGGCTGTGCACTTTATAGGTAGAAGCATGCGGGAGGAGACAATCGAATTGGCCGAGGTGGGCGGTTATCCCATCTCTAGTCGATGCTTAGGTATCTTGTCACAAGAGGAGTGTTCAAATCTCACAGCACAAGCGGTGGACTGTTCAACTGAAATATCAGTATAAGGTGCGCCTTGATTCTGGGAGCCCGCCAAAATGCGTTGGGTTGTATCTGCGGAAATCATCACGTGACTTGGAGCGTATTTGGTGTAGAAACAAGGCGCGACAGGGACAAAAAAGCATTCATCCTGGTAACAGGGCTCTGAAGCCATGATTGACCTCCAACAGGCTCTGGATAGGATCGCAAAGTGTGTATAATGATTCGACCGGTAAAAACATTTCATACCATCTTCTAGACATTGCTTGCGACACTTCTTGAATGTTCAAGCATCGTGAGAGGGACGCGGCTGTAAATAGAGTTAGCAAATAGAGTGATCACTAGCGCGTTCTATCGTCGGGGCAACCCTTGCTCAGTTGGGAATCAACAATAACCCGTCTGCGACTGCGAGTCGCAGCTTTCTGAGAAGCACATCTTACCACATCATCTTATTCTGAACACAAGCATTGTTTTGCGCTTGCTCATTGCACCTCGTCAAGCTTAGTGGTCGGTATACTAATGTCTGGCCCCGTCAAATTTCTCCACTGATAGAGAAAAAAGCCAGATCGCGGTTTGGAGGGAGGAACACGAGAGCTTCCCCGAGCATCCAGAATACACTCGAGGAGCTTTGAACGCGTCGACACATCATGGACGCCAAGGTAAGCCATTCATTCCAGTTCTAAAGCATACACAAAGAGCACATTGCCAGTCAAGGATTTTCTGGCATGCAATCCTAGTTACCGACCAAGCCTTTTTTTGAGTCTAAGCTTGCTGAACTCCAAGTCTCCTAATCGTTGGCTTCGTGTACCCCCATGTCACATTCAACGGTATCTTGTCTCTGACGACGGAGTATAATGCTAACATGTCTTCCCTATATCAGCCCCAGAGACCGACTCGGACCTTGCGCGCCATCTACGGAGATGAAAACGTGATGCCGACGGCCGGTGCACAGAAAACTCTACACCAGCGCAACAAATCGAGCCCAGCACTGTCAACAATACATCACGCGGGTGGTCTGAAGCTTGCTGCAAAGCGGACCGCATTTGGGGATGTCAGCAACACATCCAATATCTCTAGGCCCAGCAAGGACGACTCGGCAATTGGCGCCAAGGGCGATTACAGCATCATGGAGAAACCGATCCCGACACAGCAGGATAAGAAGGCTTCATCCTTCCTTAGACCTGCACAGCGTCCCCTATCTGTCTCCGGATTAAAAGGTCTCTTGAATAACGTCGCCAATTCCACCAACCTTCCCTCGGTCAAGCAGCCTTTGGTTGACATTCAACAACCACTACCACAGACGTCTCAAGCCGCCAATACACGCAAGCTCGTGGCGAAGAAGAGCACTGCTGTCTTTAAAGATGCTGTTGCCACGCAGTCCCAATACTCCGCTCCTGAAGTGCAAAAGCCTTTGCCTACGACTGCACCAATCGCTCCTGTCCATCGCGAACTCCAACCTCGCCAGCAACCCAAAGAGTCCAACGAGTCACAGGAAACACAGACCAAGCCACAGACAACACAAAGCAAGCACGCAGGTCAGCATGCGGCACACGCAATGGCAGCAGCACCGTCGGCTGCGGAAACATCCTCTGAAGAACCCGCTGTCCTCAGATCAGACGGCATTTACATTGACCAGCATGGACAAGTACAGTTCTACGGACTTGATGAGTCTGTTGAGCATGTCGAGGTTCTTCAGCCGCGTGAAAAGGGCGTGCCCTTGCCAGTGGAGCCGCCGAATCAGGATGGGAAAACAGGCCAGGATCAGGTTCTTGATGCTTATCTTGCCGAGTCGCACCCAGAATCACACCGAAGACCCACCTTGGCTCCTGTTTCAGAGCCAGAAGAGTACTGGGATGATGAGGGAGAAGAAAATTACGACGAGGAAGGTTATGCTACTGCCCGATCATTCAAATCCAGGGGAGAAAACACTACAGGCGGTGCTACGACGGTTCTGTTCCCGAAGGTCAACCAAAAGACAAGGAAAGAGATCGCTGCTGCCAAAGACTTGATAGAAGGATCTAAGACAGTGGAAGAGCTTGAGGATGAGGCGTGGGACACAACAATGGTCGCAGAATATGGGGAAGAGATCTTCCAATATATGAAGGACTTGGAGGTCAGTGAAGATACGCTGGCACTTGAATCATGCTAACTGTATACAATAGATCAAGATGTTGCCAAATGCGCACTATATGGACAACCAAGCAGAGATACAGTGGTCGATGCGTGCAGTACTGATGGACTGGATAGTTCAAGTGCACCATCGCTTCAACCTTCTCCCAGAAACGCTCTATCTCTGTGTCAACTACATCGACCGCTTCTTGTCTTGCAAGGTCGTCTCCCTGGGAAAGCTGCAGTTGGTCGGCGCCACTGCAATATTCATCGCCGCCAAGTACGAAGAGATCGATTGCCCGTCCGTGCAAGAGATTGTATACATGGTTGATGGCGGCTACACGGGCGACGAGATTCTCAAGGCGGAACGTTTCATGCTCAGCATGCTGCAGTTCGAACTTGGCTGGCCTGGACCAATGAGCTTCTTGAGGAGGATCAGCAAGGCCGACGATTACGATCTTGAGACGAGGACGCTCGCAAAGTACTTCCTCGAGATCACTGTTATGGATGAGCGATTCGTCGGTAGTCCACCGAGCTTTGTCGCGGCTGGAGCACATTGTCTGGCCAGGCTGATGCTCAAGAAGGGCATTTGGGTATGTATCCTGCTCCGATGATCGTTGCACCTCAGCTGCTGATCCCTTCGCAGTCACCTGCACACGTCTATTACGCCAACTACACCTACTCCCAGCTTTTCAACCTGATATTGCTCATGGTCGAATGCTGCGAAGACGCACGCAAGCATCACTGTGCGATCTTCGACAAGTACACCGACAAGCGCTACAAGCGTGCATCGCACTTTGTGGAGTCTGAGATGAAGAGAGGATTCCAAATTCAGGATGTCGCTTCACATACAGCCGCGCCATATTCCGGCATCTACGATGATCGGCATATTTGGGGCCAGAAGTGAACGTCAGGACCACCGCTGCAGAACCTCAAATTGGATCGCTGGACATCGTCGCTATTGCAACATCTTCTTCACCTTGGCACATTGCAACCACTAGACTCGGTATCACAGTCTGCTCCATTAGCTCAAACCAGGAACATCTTGAATACTCGAGACTCTGCTCCATTAGCTCCGCCCTTGGAGAGCTTTGGACGTCTTTTACCCTCATCCGGTACCCTTTCCATATTTCTACGGACATCATTCATCGGAACAACTGCATAGCGCGGCATACTCTTTAATGGCACTCATGACCTTACGTCCTCTACGACATCGGTACCTTTCAGCATTCGACATCTTGAGAGAAAAAGCCCATCCAGGTGCGACTGGCCTCGTTCCTTCTTTCTAGGCACTCGGCGTCAACGGAGCTTAGTGCTGGTAGCTCCCCATCAAGAGACGGGGCAACGCTGGCGGTTCTTTTTTTTTTTAGCGAATTCAAATCTTTTAGAGTGGGCAAGGGTGTTTACTAGTAGATAGACAGGACAGCCAAATAGCATCTTCATGTCAGAACAACGGCTGGGTCGATTAATCCGATAAAGCGATTCCCAAGGTCTTCGTTCAGTATATGAGAATCAATGCCCAAAGCAGGATGTAAACAAACATCGCGTGGCTGACACTGACTGACAGTGAGGCTCTGCTAGCTTCGAGAGTTGCTCGACTTTCCATTTCGACCGCCTCTTTTCAAGAATATGTACAGTCTCTGAGTATTTACAAAAGAAGGTGGGACCATTAAAAGGGCCACCCTGAGTCGCCTCTAGAGCGCACCAAGCCGGACGCCATGTAAATGCAGCATTGCGTTGCCACCTCCTCTTGCCTCTCAAAATCCTATCCTACTCGTACAGATCTAGAACGAAAATGAAAAACAGGGTGCTTTTTCGGCGTGAGGTCGTGATAAGGTGACGGGGGTAGAGAGAGAGATCGTCGAGATGAGATGAAAGGATGGAGACGGTTGGGAAAGGCTGCCGAGATGAGATGGAAAGTTGAGAACCGCTGTCCAGGGGTTTGTTGGTGGTACAGACACCCCAAGAATCGTCCAACTTATTCGGGGTAAACGAGGGCCCTTGGACGGTCTCATTGGTTCAAGGATCCCAAGATTCTCTTGCCCAGGAGTTGCACGCTTTTCTTGCGTGTGCTGCAAGTCGTCAGTGAGAGGATCCACTGCTGCTAATGGTTCATCAACGGGTACTGACCTTTCATCTGGGTCCTCACCATCCGCATCCTTACGTCGAAGTTTGTGAGTGTCTGTGGTGAACCGCCGGATCAGGGTGTGCCGCATTTTGTTCAGTGCCTAGTTAGAGGTCAGTCAGCTTTTAGTGGAGAAGGCAATTCAGAGAATGACGGCGACGTACATTATCTTCACCCTCAGCCTCGGACTCTGGTATCGAGGGCGGTTCACCATGCAGTCCATTGTGGAGAGCGGAATGCCGTAAGCTCTGCGTAAACGAGTCTTTTCTCGCCAACTGATTGCTCGGATTGGATGTCAAGGTTGCCCGGGAGGAGTCATCAGTGTCGTCTTGGGGGCTTTGATCCCTTATACTGCTTGTCTCGCTCGAGAGGCTGTTCTTGAGAGTGTTGCTATTTGGTAGCATAGATGAGGAGTTTGCAAGCTCGCGGAGGCGGCCCTGTTGGCTTTTGCCTGGCCGATGATGAGAGAGCTTGTTGCCGATGATGGCGCCTGTGTGCGAGATGAGTGCCCTGATAACATCTTTCTTGAGTCGTAAAGCGAGGTCAAGGTTTGACCAGGTCTTATTTCGATACTCAAGGACTGGCATGCGGAAGACGAAGTTGTGGACGTCTTCAATGTTTCGTTCGCCTTTGCCCTTGTAACTGAGGCAAAGAACAACGCTAGGGATCTTCACGTACGCGAGAGTCATGTAGTTTGAAGCTCGTGACAGCATTTGAGAGAGATCATCAGAAGGTTTAGTTTTGTCTGTTGTAGTAGCTTGGCTCGTCGAACGATTGAGGGTGAATCTTTTATGCTTCTCTGGGTTGCCGTTCATCGCGGATAAATTTGTCGAAGACCCATCCTTAGATTGGCGCATTACTGCTAAAGACTCTTGTGACGGTTTCTTGGAACTCTTACGCACTAGAGATGGCCTTGATGCATTCTGCGAACGACTGGAGTGGTTCGAGTGGTGGAATAATTTGAAATGGTGGGTTTCCCCGTTGGTCTTACTAGAGGAACTGGAATGACTCTCTTTCTGTGGAAACGCCCTGGTAGCTCTGAGTCTCATGTCTAGGGATGCTGCTCTGGTCGATGGTTGGTCGTCATTGGAGCCATTGACTTCGAGTCTCGGCGTGTCTGGGATGCTGGACAAGGTCTCAGCATCGGAGTCCTCTTCCGCATCCCCTGCATGGAGCGTATGCTTGACAATAAACGGCGATTTGTCACTACCATTCTTATCCAATCCCGGAAAGATATATTCAAAAAGTTTCTGACCCACTTCTCTCTCAAGCTGAACTTTCAGTGGGAAAAGGTCTACCTCGAATTGATCTAAGACCGGTATGCCAGCAATGGGCTCAAGGCTGTGCCAATTGACCTTGAGCATCTTGGGATCTTGACCATGGACAAATTTCCTACCACTTTCCAAATATGGACCCAGCATCTCAGGGTATAGAGCACCGGGCAAGAGATTGAGTCCATGTATACGCTCGATCTGCATCGAATTGTGGTTGGAACCATCGCTATTGTCCGTCCTGTCGTAGGCCGCTTTGTTTAGTTGAATCTCCATTAAAGGGACGTCCTTTTCTCTCATCAAATGCCAGACAATTTCTGAAGCGGAAAGGTACCAACGCAGCAGCCCAGTTGTCTGTGAGGCCTGAGTACGATCGTCAAATTTGCGTTGCGATGTGGTAATGGCCTTCATCATGAAGAAGAGCTCGTCCTCGCAGCTCGCTAAATCGTGCTCGATAGCCATACGGTCTTCCCAACCTTGTTTGTCAAGGTACTTCGCGTTAATCTGAAATTGTGTTTTGATCTCCTCCAATTGGCGTATTCGAGCTTGAAGACTAGACACCATTTTGGGCGCACCGCTGAGATCACTAAAGTCAGAGGCCAACATGATCCTTTCAAGCTTTTCACTGCGGACCTTTTCCAACGGCTCGTTGTATAGCAATAGATCAAACACTATCACATACATTGTGAAATATTCGACAGAGTCGCAGATTGCCCGAATGTGTGGGAAGTCAACCCACAAGTGGTCGATGCGGCTTTCCATGTTCTCTGGCTTGTTTTTCTGTCCCATTTTCCCACTGCTAACCTCGTCGTTGTACTTCAGTCGAAGGGTATTGTACTTGTCGTAGCGAAGACTCGCAGAGGTTCTCTGCACTACTCGCGACCATCCGAAGGGGTCGTATTCGAAATCGAAATTGGTCTCGAACGCTACCCAGGGTGGCCACGCAGAGCCTTTGGGGGTACCGTAGCGATTGCCAGAGTATATATGAAGAAACTGGGACAAGACCTTTTGGGTCGTGACAAAGAACTGTACACTATCCATATCCACAGAAAATCTGCGCTGCACGAGCCCACTGACATCATCCGCTATGCGATCCTTGTCCATGATTTGGACCACTTTTAATTGCATGCTTTTGGCTGTGACTAATAGCACGGATTTGGAGTTCTTCTCGCTCTGCAATTGGAATTGTGGTGCGATCAAGCGAACATGATAAGTGTTTTGCGGTATGTATTCTTCTGAAATATCCTTCCCGAGGTTATCCGTGTTTGAATTTTGCGGCTCTGCTGTTTGCTTAGGATCATCAGCGTCGACGGTTTTATTGCTATCGCTGAGCAGATCTTGGATGAGGTCTTCGACGCTGGAGCCAGCACTCTTTTCTTCTTCCGTCGAGACGGCTGCAAAGGCTTCTGAATCTGTCGAGTCAGAATCGTTTTGTTGTGTATGTTTTCTCTTATTCTTATGCTGCTCTCTGACAATGTCTAAGATGAACTTGACGGCTTTCTGTGACATGTAGTAAATGAACCCTCGCCGTTGACTGACTTGGTGTACGTAGCGGAGAATGATGTTCCGAAGCGAGTTGTTCCATTTCAGCTGCGCATTGTGTATGATGAAGCGGTTATTGAAGTCACTGGTAGGTCCTGAATGAGGTGTGGCTTCAATTCCCTCGGCTTCAGTATCCGCTTCATCTTCTGACCCCTCACCTGCTAGGTCTAGGCCAGCAGTGTCACCAGCTGCTGAGATCCAGGGCCTGCCTTCATCGATGGCACGGTTCAGCCGTGCGAGCGTTTTCTGTAGGGAATCCTTTTTGCCTTTGAGTTTCCTACCCTGGTCGCTGAGCATTTCGTAGCGCTCTTTTAGACTCGAATCTCGATATGAATCCCGGACAACACGAAGCTCTTGCTCGCCTAACGTTCTCTCATGCATTTCCAATTGTTCATCGAGTTGTACAAGGCGCTCTTCAATCAGCTGACACTGTACTTTGCGAGGGTCGTTATCCTGAGACATGACACAAAAATGGGTGGGTTCGTCACCGAAGGGACTTGCGCTGTCGCCATCTGCAGACTTGGAAGTCTGAGTATCAGTCTGTCGGAAATAAGTAAAGCGTGGCGCAAAAGCTAAAGGCAAGATCTTTGTCTCTGGATTCGTCTCGGCCGGCAAGATCCAATCGATTTCGACGAAGTCATCCATGTCAATCCAGAAAAAGTCATTGTCCGGAATGGTAAAGCGAGATATGTCAGCTGAAGCTGTTGACTGCTGGTAAGCTGCTAGGTCTTCCGGTGTGGCTCGTTTCAAGTCGTCCGTGGTCGTGCCGGCAATGCTGGCAGATACAGCCCGAATGTCAGCGGAGATAAAGTCCAGCTGAGCTTGGTTGATTCTCATGCCGGTTGCTTTCATCTGCTTAGCTTTACCTCTGCCCTGAGCTGCCCACTCCTCTCGCCTTTGGTGTAGATCCAACATAAAGCTGTCGAGTCTAAGCTTTAGACCGGTGGCGGAAACAAGTGCCTCGGAATAATCTTCGACATCCTTGTGTTTGTAGATATGAGCGATGAAGAGTGGTGAAAGCAGAAGGTTGTACTTGATCGTCGCAAGGTGGCGTCCGAACTTCTTGCTCGTTTTCTCGATTCCTGGAAAGAGCTTACCTTGCCGAATGGGCAAAGCCATGACTCCAGAGAACATCGACCACCAATCAAAGAAGTGTGTGAAAAAGCGAGGGCTCATATGTACTGCGTTGTAGCTCATGGATGGTTTGATGTTCTTGGTCGTCCAGTCGCGATTGAGGGGAGCAACCACTGCAATAGATAGATGGATGTGATTACTTCGAAAGCCTTTAAAAGCATCGTAGACCTGTAGTACCGTTAGCGCAATCGGCGATCTCGCCCAGAATTTGCGTACCTGTCCCGGCAGAGCTTTTGCATGTTGAGGGGTCCTCAACGTAACGTTGTAATGCGGTGTGAAGTCGAAGGATCGACCTCCTTGAGCCAGGTCTCTTTCGAAAACCAGACCCGCAAGCCAGCGTACGTTGCCCGAGAGCTTCATAACAACCTTTTTGAACATTGTAGTGTTCCTTGTACTGCTTGTGCTCGACGTGCTTGATGTTTTTGGCCCTTCTCTACCGAATGTATAACTTGTTTCTCGAGCTTGATGACTATAATCCGGGATTGCCAAAACATAGTCATCGCTGTCGACAGTCATGAACCTTTTAGGATCATCGTCCTTATGAATGGACCAGCGTACATTGTTGCGCCAGCACATGACGAAACCTGCACCGTTACCAGTGACCCGGTACGGATCCCGAGTACCTTTCAATTGTAGGCGAACATCCCCGTCACCCTTCCAGGCAACATTGACCCGGGAATGCGCGCTGAGACGGATCTTATCCCAAAAGCCTGTCCGGTCGGAGGGATCTACTTGTGGTTTGGTGAAACCCTCTATTACCATCATCATATCCTGTATAGCCGGCTGGTATGATGCTCCCCAGGTAATGCTCGTGGGGGCGCTCGTGTTGATTGCAATAGCCACATCCGAGTACGTTTTGACAGGAGAAACTGTTCTGCGAACATTAATTGCAAACCCGCTGCCGGATTCCGACCCTGAAAATTTTCTGGGTGGAATGACTTCGACTTTGACTTGCTTTGTAGACACAGCACCCCGGTATTCCTCGGCAATAACAAAATCCGTCTTCAACGACCAACTGGGCAATCGTGGTGATTGTCCTGGCCTAATAGCAGGTACATGAAGTAATGGTAGAGGATAATCCCGTAGAGTGACACGAGCTTCACCCATATCGATCTGGACATTGAGCGGAATTAGCAAGCAGTACTCCATATCGTAGGGCATCCCTTTGCCGACTCTGTGAAGGAATTGCGGATAATCCTTGATTGGAAACGAAGGCTTGTCAACAACGATATGCAGATCACTGATCAGTGTGGACATCAGACCTGGCCGTTCTGGCATGGCAAGTATGCTTTCAGCCTCCTCGTCGTTTTCAGGGATGTCGTGGTTGCCGAAGAATATACCTCGGATCCTTCGCATTCCAGCGTTCTGGATATGATACGCAACATCAATACGGTTTTTCCAACTTTCAGAGTTGTGTTTCTGGAGTTTGTACTCCGCTTCCTTGGCTGAAATTTTGGCGTCCTTCGTAAGTGTACATCTTCCATCGCGATCATATCGCATTCGACGTGATTGAGTAGATGGAGGAGAGGCCGAACGATGGCGAGAACGTGACTTCACGCTTCGGCTCCGCCGTCGAGCTTCTTGCGGGGGAGAATGCTTGCCCCTGCCGCGCTCTTGCGACGGATGACGCTGTGGACGGTAACGTGACGAGGCTCGATTGTGATGATGGTTTTCCAAATTGTTGACTTTGGCGAGAAAGGCCTCTTCGCGGGCAAGGCGCTGCTTTTGCTCTATCAAACCAGTGCGATAGATCGTCCCGAGCTTCCAGTCAAACGCTCCATCTTCAACATCAAAAAGTAATGCTTTGCTTCGAATGGATATTCTCGGCACCTGTTTTGGTTGTTCTGGTCTTTTCTTGAGAACATACTCGTCACTTCCTGTCTTGAAGCGATGGTGTAATTGTTCACTCGCTTTCAAAGCGTTTGCAAAATTATCGAAGATTTTGTGTGGGACAAGCTGATGTGGGACCGCAAGCCTTATGAAGTCCATAGCTACATCGATGGATTTTTCCTGAATGACTGCTCCTCCCCGCTTTCTGCGGTTCTCTCGAAGATCGACTCGCAGATTTCTGATGCTAGTAATCCTTGCCCAGGCCGAAATGATCCGAGGGGCTTCGACATAAAGACGCACCATCTCTGCTTTCATGAAAGGCATTGCCCATCTATGTCGCCCAGCTTCCATACGGTATATTTGGAGCATCATTGGAGGATCTGATGGCATAGTCGCTTTGACCTGAAGCAGTCCAGCTCTAACGTCGACCGTGACGAGTCCTTGAACGGCCTTCCGACTGGGGCTGTGTGGAGGTATAGAGCTTCCAGACGTCGCCTGTGGGGAAGTAAGATCGGGCGGTGTATGACTGGCTTCCTTGTCGCTAGCGAATGCTTTTCGAAGTACTCCAGTCGCCACGCCAATTGCATAATAGCGATACAACGAATATTGCAGGTACAGTGCCTTGGTGTGGGAATTGATGTGAAATATAGGTCCTTGGGCATCGCTTAATGTAGTGAATGCAACTTCGAACCGAGGGAGAGAGATGAAAGACTCCGTCTCGACGACGTCAATGTCCTCAACCACAAACCCCTCGAAACCTCGAACATGTACTGCCAACCGTCTGCCATCCGTGCTACTCGGCAAAACCCCACTCGTACTTGGCGGAGGCGTTACTTTGATTACAGGATCGTCCGTGATCGTGGGCTTAATGCTTCCGTGACGCCTAGATGGTGGTCTTTCATCAGGTGAAGACCTCTGGATCTTATATTCGGCAGTCCAAGACTCAAGCTGAAGAGCGACACCACGCGTATCCGTCGAGACCTCAGCATCGACACCAGCCACCTCGACGCCGAAATTGGAGCCCTGGAGAGAAAATTGGACAAGCCAAAATGGCAAGGACCTTAGGAATTCGGGACCCATTGAAGGAGTATTGGTCGATCTTGTTTGAGCGTCGCGGTCTGTGCTTAGCTGTTGAAATATTTGGCGTACGCCAGCACTGATTTCAGATCGCACCATATGGACGGAAAAGGTCTGAATATTGCCTGTCGCAACAACGGAAATTTCTGGCGAAGCGTTTAGTTGGATTTTGAGCTCGAGAGCGTCAATACCCAGTAATTCATGGCGTTCGCCAGATGCTGTGTGGTAGTACAGTTGGTTCGAGGCGATACGCAGATTTGACGTAAGCGCGTAGTGCAACTCGCCCGCCGTGAAATGCGATGACTCGACATCCAGCGATATCGAGGAGACAGACAGGATGATCAGGTCGTATTCATCAGACCCTTTAAGCTTGGGATCAGCTGGCGGTAGCGCCACTCTCATCACGGGTTCGTGAACAGAGAATTTGATGTTAGCCTTCGGCAAGAGTCGTGATAGGAGTCGTTGTGATCGGCCATGAGTAGCTGGCGATTCGGAGGGTTCCTCCCTAAGGCTGTGAATGAGCGCAAGGACCAAGGGCATGTGTTTCGGATCAAGATCAATCGAAGGCGAAGTTACTACAACATTGGCAAAGAGGATATTTGCGTTGCGCTCGGCTGCGTTATTGTCTTCGGAGAAAGCCACAGTCTTCGAAGGCAGAGTTGTCTTGACCGTCGTTGTAGCCATTGGTACGTACAGGATTCTTTCCGGTTTCTCATTGCCGTCGTCGAGGCTCACTGCGATGGAGATTGCAGCGAGCAATGCTTGATGTGCAATATCCTTTGATGAAAAATACATTCGATGCGCAGGGCTCTTAGGGTCAAGGCGATGCATGTCGATGCCAAATTCGTTCATGGCTACATTGAGATATAGAGGGGATCCATTTGGCTGCATTGAATGGAACTCTTTCGTCATACCCACAAAGCTGACCGCCATCTGAATCTCTTGAATGCCTCGCAAGATGGAGCTGACAAATTCCTTCGAATCGGAGACCGTCTGTACTATATTTGCTTCCCGGCTTCCCGGCCTATCCAGCTCTTCTATTACGTCGGTGAAGGTGATGTCGCCATTGTGCGTCTCCATTTGTTGCAGATGAGCCTCTTTCCGATACCGCTCCGTTTGAGCCTTGCATCTCAATAGGTCGTCGTATGGTATATGAACTCGGCCCAATTTCAATGATATCGAGGTGTCGCGCAGACCCGCGCGATCTCTGTAAAGCAAACCGTGGATATTGAGAGTGCAGATATCAACAACTTCCAGAGAATCTCTTCCTTCGGGCGTGAAGAGAATCCCTTTGACCGTGAACATCCACTCTGCCGGACGTTGGTTGCCAGCAGGAACCTTCTTGTGCTGAAAGAGCCGACCTCTGTCCACTGTCTTGCGCCTGGTATCGACAACCATGCTAAACGTCCCAACTTCAAAGCAGCCAATGCCTGCAAATACTAGACTTGAATTCTGGGCCGTGAGATCAACCATGCTAAGCCAATGTATTTTTTCGTGCAAACGCTTGATCCTCTCCTTTAATTGTGTCAATCTTTTCCATGTTCGACTTCGCGAAGACGCTGGGGTCACAGTTCGAAGGATGGGTTTGGGGGAAGTAGAGGAGGAGAATTCGTTTCGCCCCGGTGTGTCTGAGGAGTGTACATTGCTTCGTGCATGGTGCGAGCCTTCTGTCTTTGCTCCTGTTCCGAGATGCTTGACATCGACCGTCACCTTCAGCTCTGTCAAGCGTAGACTTATCCATGTTGGCTGCGCAAAGGTAGGCCGATGAAGATGCAAGCCTAAGCCTCGCAGTTCTATCCGTATACCATCTCTAGGTATATATGCGATGCGCCTCAGGGAGAAGTATCCAATTCTTTGGATGGATACACCGGTCGCTATGCGTAAGATGGCGAAAAGGACGAATGAACCCAGGTACAAAAGGAGAACGAGTCCCAGGAGGAAGGTTGGACTGAATATACCCATGATCGTTCAGCAGCCATCAAGGTAGAGGGTCGCCGGCATGCTCGGAGACTGCTTCGGCATGCAGCTAAACAGCCCGGAAAGTGGAGGAAGGAGATGGGTGGATTCTTGGCATGATTCGTATACGGCCACGAGATGCACGAGATGGAAGAGAGAGAGGATGAGGATATAGAAGTAAAGTGAACAATCAAACAGCCAGGCCGTATTCCATAGGGCTACTTATTTCTCGTAAAACTGGTAGAGTACCATTACCATTTTTCGAGCGCGGGATGACCGGGATGTCGGAGCCGTTGTTAGAGTAGATAAGATGGAAATCAAGAACAAGCTTTTGGGTAAGGGTAATCTTACCCCCCTGGGACACCCCCGAGAACCCCCCCCCCAACCCCCCAACCTCGTAGATACGCTAGCAGAGCCCTAAAGTTCCATTCTCCTGGACCACTACCACTGACCAGATACTACCTACCTACTACGGAGGGTGACATCAAAAGTCCTGCACATGCGCTAAATCTCTTGGCATGCTTGGCATTTTGACAAATCTGACCTTTTTCTTGGATAGCTTCATTTTTCTAGTGATGATACTTTATATAGCTACGTATATACTCATTTGCTCGCTCCGTAGAGTTATAGGGCCGTATATTACCTCCCTCACGACCTTTTCTGTACTCGTTACCGCCCTTGAGATAAATAACCTCCGCAATATATCTCGGTATTCGCTCTATCCACTCCTGAATCCTTTTCTATATAAGCTCGTGATTTTAGCAATATAGTCACCGTTCCTCGGCATCTTTACGAGTCCTTGATACACCTTTTCGGGTAGTTTAACGCTTCATTCATGGCCAACAAGGCTCGATTATATTAAGATCCGAAGAGTTACCGCACCAGAGCATTCGAATAATATCCATTGACATGTAAACTGCTTTCTGATACTTTGATGCATAGGTTAGGGCCTTGTCTTCCATGACTATTGTGTTAAGTCGCTCTCGTTTGCACTTCTGAGCGAATTTCAGAAGCTTTGGGATAAGAATCTATACCTGGTAAGAAGGAGAAGTAATTCGACAAATACACTCTTCATGCATAGCTGTAACGTCGCTACAACGCGTATACACTCCGTATGTATGCACTCCGTATGTATGCACCTCGTATATATAGCATTGACGTCGCTGTTAAGTAAAAAGTAGTAATATTAAGGATATTCAAAATATTCAGAATATTTGCCAAGCATGCCAAGAGATTTAGCGCATGTGCAGGACTTTTGGTGTCACCCTCCGTACTAAGGTACCTATTCTAACTTTCGTTTCAATCTTTTTCAAGTTCGAGGATTGCACTCTCAAGGCATAGGATTCTGTTTCGATCAAGCTGAGAATCTGGTCTGAATACATACGACGATCGCTTGCGGATGAAAAGTCACCTCCAAAAGGACAAAGGCGAATCTGGCGATTCAGATTTCCTGACGATGAAATCGGCACTGTCTCTTCGAGCTTGTCTGCTATGACTGCTCTGCATCATAATTTCTTCCGATACTATGGCCACTTTCTATGGATTCAACTCAACACATGCGCGGACTGAATGGAGTTCTTCTAAGTATTTTGAATGGACGCCCAAAGATGGAGAACCTACTGCGTTTTTCCTCAATCTGCACTGTTCGCGTCTTCCGCGGGCAGATTTCGATTGATACTGCCTAGGCGATTGTCGGCTTGTCACTCTAACGTGGAGTACTCCAGGTAGGTACACTATGAAGTGCTGGATAGCAGAAGGCATGGCCCATTGGGCAACCCTACGCGAAAGCGAACTGTGCCTCCTCCGCCAAGAGATGATGGTTTGACAACCAACACTCCGCCTTCAACCTTCCATCTCTTCACCTGATGACAATTTTTGGAACCCCTACTTCTTGTGATCGCCTTTAGGAACTCACAGATCGTCGCAATAATCGCATCAATTTTGCGAATCCGAGCGCCTACCGTGACAAGAGAGTCGCAACCAGCAGACCCATCACTCCAACGAACAACTAGAGGGTATGGTTTCGCTCTCTGTACTCAGTGAAATTATTCTCTGCACGGTTGTGACGCTCTGTGTTGAACCATTTTTTTCAGCGACAGCCTCTGTTTACACATACTGAACAACTCCAGTCCTCACATCCGTCGCCAAATCCTCACAATGGCCGATAATGAACCTTCGGGCCCTTTTCACGCCGGCCCTGGGACTGCGCACGAGATAGGCGTTATGGCTGGCTTCATAGCCGCGTTCATTATCATCACAGTTGTATACCTAATCATCTGGAAAGTCTACAACAAGCGCTCCGAGGCCGGGGAAATGCAGCGAAGACATATTTTAGCTGAGAAGACAAACCCAAGAAACACAAGAGTCATGGAAGAGAAGGCTGGGAATAGGGTCAGTGCCGCATACAGCGCTGCGCCGGGTTATTGAAGAGCATGGAGAAGATTCCAAGAGGCTGCGGAGCAGAGACCGAAGACAGATGAAAGGAAAGGCATGAAAGAGATGCTTTGGAACAGTTCCATTTGATTTTGTGATAATCGCTTCGGAGTTTGGAATATCCGTGGAGTCTGCCTTGGATTGGTTCGCGATCTATGAAAATGGAGTCGTGGGAATTCGGCGTCACGGCTGGTGTACATGTTGCCGTACCTCCACCTTTACTGCAAATTATTCGCAATGCGTTGCGCAGGACTCAAGCCAACGGTGGTGTCTATCCAATCAATGCAGTCTATCTTTCCAAATCCCAGCCCAGCCTGGATCTCATTTTCCAATGGTCAAGAACAGCCTGTCGCCCACATCCCCTAGACCAGGCCTTATCATACCTCGTTCATTTATCTGTCCGTCCACACCTCCAACCCAAATCTCCACTGACTCGCCTCCATTTTCTTCTGCCGCTCGCTTCACCCCTTGCTCGCTGCCCAGCACACTAATCACCACCACTTTTTTTACTCCCCATTCCAGCAGTGTCTGTATGGCCGCACTTGAGGTCCCACCAGTCGCTATCACCGGGTCCAGAAGTATGGCTATGGAGGGAACTGGAAATGGGTCAGGGTTGGCAGACGTGGGACGATGGTAGGGAAGGTTGTTGTAGTATTCAACAGGTTGAAGGCTGGTAGGTTCGCGGAAGAGGCCCAGATGATGGACTGAAACGGGTTCTGGCAGCAGAGTTTGAATTGCTGAGGAAGTTGATGAGACCAGCTCTTGGGTGAGGTTGGGGCAAGCCTACCTTCGAGCATGCCTAACCCAGAACGTAGAATCGGGACAAGAGCGACATGGGGAGTGGTGGTCTCGACCGAGTAGGTGTAGCCAAGGGGAGTTTCAGCCTGCTCGTCACCGATATTAGGATGCCCGAACTTATCATGGTTGGATCTAGGGAGGAAATGATGGAGTGGCGGTACAAATAAAGCTCACAGTACCACTTGATGTTGTTTGTAGCGATTTTGCGAGAGCTTCGCAGCCAACGATGAGGGCAATCTCATGCACTAGGGCCTTTGTCTCCCGAGCGTTGGCGTCCTTGGATCGTAACTGAGAGAGTTTGGCGCGCAAACATGGGTGAGTCGAGATGTGAACGTTGACTGGAAGTGATGAAGAGGCCATTGCTGGAAATGAAAGCTGTCAGGCAGAGGAATGGAAGAAAAAGGAAGAGGTTTGTCTTGGGGGCATCGGCAATGCAGGCTTGGCGCAGATAATCGCTATTCATATCGTTCTAGCGTATTCAAAAACGTGGCAAATGCTTGGCATCAGGAATTGTTACGCACCCCATAGATGGAAATTATTAGTTTCACTATTATGATTCGATTTATAAAAGTTTCCAGATGTGAAGTTGAATACTCCTCACTGCGACTCCAGCGCTGTCAAGATAGACTGGAAAAATATTAGATATACTCGTTTCCACCCCCATTTGCACGTTACCCCCATTTGCACGCTCTTAAATCCGATAAATCCGACATAGATAGCTACCACTACCATGGCTACCACTATTACTCATTTAAATGGCTTACCACCATAGTCTACCATAATGGCCAATGCATAACTCTTAAGCTTGTTCAGAAGCGACTGGATAATATAGCTACTAAGGAATCTAAGAAGCAATTTCGAAGCATATATCACCTCGGACCAGCTATTTTTGAAGACACGAAGAGAGGTAGAAGTCCTGTCAAGAAAAAGGCTACTGCACCTCCCACAATTGCACCTCCCACATCAGGCCCACTAATGCCACTAAACCTCGCTCCACCACAGCAACTACAGCGAGATAGACGAGGAGCTGCTCCGCCACAGTGGCGGGCTCCACCGGAGGCTCTATCAGAGGCTTCACCGCAGCAAGGTAAAAGAGATAGAAGCGGTGGAAGAGATAGAAGCGGTGGAATAGGTAGAAGCGGTGGAAGAGGTGGAAGAGGTGGAAGAGGCGGAAGAGGTAAGAAGGTAGTAGAAGAGGAGGTAGAAGAAGAGGTAGTGACGGTTTTTTCAAGACATGGTAGGCCGATAAGGCCCAAAAAACGGTGATTTAGGTTCTCCGATATTAAGCCTTGATAGAAATAAAAGACCATCATTATTGTGCTAGTTTACCATACAAATTTGGTGAAAGGTAGGCATTTTGGTGTTGCGTCGGATTTATCGGATTTTAGAGCGTGCAAATGGGGGTAACGTGCAAATGGGGGTGGAAACGAGTATAGAATTATAAATATATTTAGAATCGCGAGCGAGTTCGATTGCGAATAACTTCTCAATTTCCTTAATTTCTAGATACTACTCAATAAGTAGTTGAAGTCTTAATATCAAGAATTTTGTTTGATACTCTTACGACTTCAACACCGCAAAGAATTTCAAAATCCGACTTATACTCAGTGACTCATAAAGTTCATAATTTGAATCTATAGGGGTACGCAGGACTTTCTGATGCCAAGCATTTGCGACGATTTTGAACAGGCTAAATTGACAACACGGGACGATCTCCCGTGTGTGTGTGTGCGATCTCCCGTAATTGTCAGCGTCATTGACGATGGGGCGCACCCTTGAGCATTAGATAAGGTAGCGTATCTGGCCTAGGTTTGCGCCTCCGAGGTCAGCACCTTCCGCAGGTCAAGCTCCGTATCCTGTCCCCATCAATATTGCTATGGACCTGGCAGTATGGTACTAGGACACGAAAACAGGGTCGCTGAAGAAGTCGAGCCTATCAACGAGAATGAAAACACCAGAACACCGCAGGGCGCGCCTTTGGCTTGATTGTTCTACGGACAACCTGCGCAGTAGCGAGAATTCAGACAAGGATCAATCGCGATCCCAGCCGAAGCCATTAGATCAAAAGCAAGAACGTCGACCTTGGGCCCATCCAGGAAGATCTGGTCGTACGCGGAACGATTGCGAGGATGGGTCAAACGAAGACTACACGCTTCCCAATGACTATGAAAACCTTGACGAAATAACAGCGCCGTCTCCGATCGGGAGCCCCCAGGAAGAGCGCAAACAGGGGTACCTAGAAGACCGCAATGCGAGCTCATCATCAAATGATCATCTCAACGAGATAGCCGCGCCATCGCCCATTGAGGGTTCTCAGGATAAGCGTGAACAAGGATACTTAGAAGACCGCTCGCCTTCAACAGACGAGAAAGCAAAAAAGGACGACGTCTCTCCACGGCGTCAACGGGCCTCCAAACTCGCGACTGAGATCTATACGATATCATACCTCATTCTTTTCTCCATTCTGGGGACACTTTCTCGACTTGGTCTTCAGGCATTGACTTTCTACCCCGGAGCTCCCGTTCAAATAGGTCTACTATGGGCTAATGTCGGTGGTAGCTTGATCATGGGCTTCCTCTCCGAAGACCGCAAGCTCTTTCGCGTAGAATTGGGCCCTCCATCTTCACCGAAGCAAGCTAAAGGCCATGACGAAGAGAAAGGCAAACCGTTGGACCGGAGCCCTTCCGCAGCCCAGAGGCAGGCTGCACTCAAGAAGACTATGCCCCTCTACATCGGCCTAGCTACCGGCTTCTGCGGATCCTTCACCTCATTCTCTTCTTTCATGCGTGACTGCTTCTTCGCACTTTCAAACGCCTTGCAGGTTCCCATCTCACACCCCTCAACTGCCCCTATATCGGAGACTTTGAACGTCCACCGTAATCCCGGCTATAGCTTTATGGCATTGCTTGCGATCCTGATCATCACGATTGGCTTGAGTCTAGGCGCACTTCAATTGGGCGCGCACCTTGCCCTCGGTCTCGAACCGTTCACCCCGTCAATTCCAAACTTCTTCGGGCGTAAGGTAATTGACCGTTCAGTCGTTCTGCTTGCCGTGGGCTGCTGGTTTGGCGCTATATTCATGGCCATCTGGCCCCCTGATCGACCTGGTGGGCCTGTGGGCAACGCGTCTTGGGCGCAGGAAACATGGCGCAGCCAGGCTCTGTTTGCCTTGGTTTTTGCGCCATTGGGATGTCTCCTCCGCTTCTACGCATCCTTGCATCTGAACGGGAAGATCAAGTCTTTTCCTCTCGGCACGTTCGCTGTCAACATTTTCGGCACCATGATGGAAGCCATATTCCTCGATCTTCAGCGTGTGCCAGTGGGAGGTATGGTAGGCTGCCAGGTCCTGCAAGGAATGTCTGATGGCTTCTGTGGTTGTTTGACAACAGTCAGTACGTGGGTGGCTGAACTGAAGGGGTTGAGATTAAGGCATGCCTACTTCTACGGCGCGATGAGTGTGGGGGTAGCATTGGCGTTGATGATCATCATTATGGGAAGTCTACAGTGGACAGAAGGGTTCCACCGTGTCCTGTGTATAACTTAAAGAATCGCTTCGGACCATCAATGGCCCTTCATAATAAGACTTAATTTGTTCATCCAAACCAGCAAGCACAAGGGACGAAAGTCCCACATGACGGGCACAATTGATCACAAGCCCATGAATGGACAATGATCTATGGAATCACGGAGCTTCCGAACTCTCAGCCAACCTGATTGATTGAGACCGAAAAGAGGCCAGGCGACATGGCAATGTCCGCCCAACATAGCAGTGCCATGGACACAAAATCAAGGGGTTAGCAAGCTACTCCAGTGAGGATTGGCGTACGGGAGGTCTGCACCAAAAGTCCTGCACCCGCGCTAGTAGCAGCCCTAACCCTACTTTCGGAAAGTGGCCCTGTAGAAGGGGAGCCTAGAAATATCTTCCAACAGCGCAATAGATGGGACTTTAGGTACTTCTTTTAGGCTCGATAGGGGTATCGAGCCCCGAAAACTTGGCTCAGGCTAGGTGCGATTTCCGAAGAACTTCAAGCGTAATTGTCCAGGTAATTCTTTGGATGGGGCGTTATCCGAGGTCTGAGCGTAGGAATCTTGGCGGGTGCAGGACTTTTTGATGCAGAGAGGATTTGAGGCCAGCTTGGGCATGTTTCCCTCGCTATTGGGTAGGATGAGCGGAAAAGTACGTGTCAGACAATCTATCTTGTTTCGAGAGCGAGCACCTGCATAAGCCCCACAAAAATATCAAAACACTTATCTCTTGCTTCAACAACGTCAACAATAATAACATCAATGCCCCTCAACACTTTCCCATCAATTGAGACAAGTTCTACCGACCGACCTTCTCCATCATTCGCGACCCGACGCGACTTCCAAAACCCCCTTGGAAGTTGAAACACAAGAGCACCTTCTCGCTTTGATGATAATGATCCTCTGAAATCCCGATTACCTTCGCTCTTATATCGCCGTCATCATGTTTCCCGTCCCGTTATCGCTTCTCAGCTTGTACATTACCTTCCTCACTTTCCAATTGGTTCAGGCAGATTGCGAATGTGGTTACACTGTCAATTCCGCTCTCTACACAGACATCATCGAGACAGACTTTCTTCACTTGGCAAACATCACCAACGACACAGATTGGCAACCACAAAATTACACCGTCACCCCTGAACTCGCGAGAGGGCCATTTGGCAAGAATGCCTCGATCAGCAACGTCGTCGCCAATCCACTCAAAAGTCAATATGACTGGGCAGGCGATGGAGTCAATGGTGGCGATGCGGGTCTGCAGCTCTTTGTCAGAGGCGGCGTTCCTCAGGATGGACTGATACCAATGGCCGAGCTTGCGACAGCGAGGATAGATATGCTCTATGGAAGCTTCCGTGCTGGCATGAAGGTGACGGGAACACCTGGCACTTGTGGCGCTTTTTTCTGGGTATAGCCTACCTTTCTGCTCCCTTTCTGTGGTCTATGCTCACATCTCTCATCATAGTATTTGAATGACACACAAGAAATCGATATGGAGTTCCTGTCCTCCGAATTCAATGCCACGTCCCAGCCCGTCAACCTCGTCCTTCAGTCGCCTGAATCTGAAGAAGCAGGCTTCAATGCCGCAAACACCGGCACATTCCAGGTACACCAATTGAATTTTACTCCCTCAGAAGGCTTCCATGAGTATCGTTTCGACTGGTCTCCCAATGCCGTCGACTTTTACGCCGACGGTGTCCTGCTTGATACCATGACCAGTGCTGTTCCCACAGCACCGGGCCACATCACGCTGTCTCACTGGAGCAATGGTGATCCGAAGTGGAGCGCTGGGCCACCTACCGAGGACGCGATCCTTACGGTTGAGTACTTGAAAGGCTACTTCAACAGCTCAGATGCTGCACGGCAGCAGGACTGGTCAACGCGCTGCATCAGTCCTTCAGCGGTGAATGCAACATGCCCTGTTCCCGAGGTCACACAGGCGCCGAATGGAAATGTTAGCGCGCACACGTCTTTCTTCAGCATGCAGGCGAACGAGACGGGGAATCAGACTGTGTTTGGGTCGAAGAAGAAGAGTGAAGGGATAGCGTTGGAGATCTCGAGGACGGGGGTATTGGCATTGGTGCTGATGCTGTCAAGTGTGGTGGGGATTCTATTGCGGTAAGACGGCGAATGGAACTCAGGTTAATGTGAGATGGACTGTATACTAGGCGTGTGGCGTGTTGTTGCCCTGCCTGCTGGTTCTGGGCGGCTTGTTTAGTACGAAGGAGATACCCCATTGCAGCTCGTGCTGTTCATCCATAGCAATCAATTCTCTTCTAGACTGGATCTGATTGACGTAGGAGCTCACTCTGCAGAACTGGTTCAGTACGAACGAAGGGTAAAGCGACTGGTACATTATTAGACATTGCTGTTGAGAAGTAAAGAAAGTTGATTTTTCTATTTTTATTTTCGGTCGTCCGCTTTTTGACTCGGATGACATTTGGCCGCCGCAGATCATTTATTCAGTGCACCCCTGACAACAATTCAATCTTCTCAACCGAAACACCATCTCATCAATCAGCCCATCATTAGACTGTCTTTACAGCTCATTCACCCTCATCCCTTGACGGTACGTCAAGGTCACCTTGCATTCGCTCTCAGGCTTCGACATCAAGCGCGCATCCAAACCATTCAACCAGAATAACTGAATTAAGGAACTTTTGGCTCTTTGGACGACTACCCTCTCCACTCCGCTATCCTTCTTTTCTCAAGCTGAAGTTTCGTGGTCCACAAAAGTCACAGCTGATTGCAGAAACCCCAACCGTCAAGGACACCTGCGCCTTTCGACTGACAGTCTTGTCCCTGCCAACAACCTGTTGAGGCCGTTACGAGCGTCTCTGCGAAGATTCTTGGACCTATAGATCTACGGTGACTGAGTCTAGACTGGAAGAGCAAGAGTAGGAGGATCATTCGACGTCACAATCAAGCATTATTGCGTGCCAGGCGCGTTTGAACGCTGCTGCACGACGGAAAAGCCTCGCAACCCACCAAAGCTTCCTCCCTCTGGCCAACGCGGACCTACCGCACAACCAACCTCCATCATGCGCATCACGGCCATCCCCATATTCTTCCTCCCCTTTCTCGCCTCCGTCCTCATCCTCGCATCAAACCACATCCCAAAAGCCGGCCTGTTACCTCGCTCCCTAGACGCCATCCTCGTCGAACCACGAGAACCCGCTCCCTCACCAACACCCACGCCCCATGTCAAACATCTCGACCTCCGGCAGGTTGCAGTAGGCGTAGGTGGAGCCGGTAATGTTGCAGCGCCCGCTCAGCCGGCAGCCGTGGCACCAGCTGCAGCAGCTGCCCCCGCCGCCGCAGCAGGAGCAGAGGTCGATCCGACGGATTCACCGACTGTAGCGGCGGGCGGGGCGGCGAGCGCGACGCCGGTCAAGAGTGGGGCGATTGGACTGGGGACGCTGACGGGGGTGGTTGGGGTCGTGAATACGAAGGATGCGAAGAATGATGCTGCGGGAAATACGATGGGTGTGGAGGTCTTGAGGATACTGGGGTTCTGGGTGATCGGTCTTGTTGTTGGGGGTGGGTGGATGGGGATTGGTATTGCCGGATAATGAGACGATGATAGGAATTGGAAGGGATCGAGTCGGCATCCATGGAGTTCGGGAGAGCATATAATTAGTTGACGGCCATGTGATATCAGTGTGTGCCGGGCACGCATAACTTGCATAGCGTTCCCTGCACCGCGCAGATGGCCTTGCGTTCCCTGCACAGAGCAGACTCAAACATCCGATCACCGAGCGCTTTCTACATGCTATATAGAACAACAATAATATCTTGACTCCCACCGATGGAACGCTCGCCGGAGCAGAAAGTCCCCTCCCTCCATCCCTCCCTCCCTCAATCAAACCGTGTCCGCAGCGAAGCCTCCCGCTAAATAAAGTAGGAAAAGAGAAACCCCAGAAACGGAGACGCTGTCACATGCTGTCGTCTCGGCCGAGAAACCCGGAGCTGTCGGTGTTCTCGCCAGACAGGGACATCGGCAAGCGAGTTTGTGGCTCCGGCGTGAGTTGGGGAAGATGCAATACATACATACATACATACATAAGTGGGCTTCGAATGCGATGAATGAATGAATGAATGAATGAATGGATGGATGGATGGCCTCGACACCCTGGGGGACGAAGAATGCGTGGTTTTCTTTTTGACCGGGGGGGACGTTTGCCTATGGTTTGGGGAATGGATGCAGAGGTGCGGCGCCAGAAGCGAGTGAGAAGTATGGAATGGGACAGAAGCACGGGATGTGCACGGAGAGGCAGGTAGAGATGGAGCCTCTTCGCGTAGATGACGAATGCTTTGCATATTTGCTTGCTCAATGGGTGCTCTCTCGTTGCCTGCTATTTCGATCTGAAATCTAGCTCTACTATCGTACACGTATCGACATCACCGTCCCCACTCTAGCCCTCATCAGCCACTCCTTGTCCACAATCAGACTCGCATAGAATGCGGGTCGCGGCCGTCCATGTGCCCGGGGTAGCTTTCCGTGCATGCTGAAGGTCACATAGCATGGCAAAGCATTTGATGCAAAAAAAATCATCGCTCGCTAGCACAATGGCCGCCGAAATCAAAACATGAGCCGCAGGTAGGAAATGGTATCTCTGGGTTTCAAAAAGTATTAAGTACTAGTAGTGGTAGTGGAGAGGAGCAGGACCAGCCCGCTTTGTATGTTTTTGCGGGCTGTGATGTGTTCCTCATGGACATGGTCTAGACAGACGGGGACAGGCAGACCGACGGTCCATGTGTTTTCATTGACGAGGCTCAACGGTGAGAACTGTGGTCTGGGGTCCCGTAACCCTCGCCCTCCTGTTGGGCAACGGTCATGAGAATAAAGGTCAACGAGATGTGGCCGAGTGAACTCGGGATCGATCAAGCCTGAATGCTTTGGAACGTAGTGTCCATGTCGAGGTCCACACCTTGGGAGGACATCGTGGGTGTGCTGGCGCTTGTTCCAGAGGCAACGGCATCTTCGTAGCCGGCAAGCGCCTGCGAATGGAGTTTGAACGACTCGCCCATAAGCTTGGTGATTCTACGATTGGAGTCAGCATCGATCCCTTGTAAAAGTTCTGCGAATGTGACTTACCCCCAGACGACCACCTCGTCAAGCATGCTACCCCATAGTCGAGCGACAGTCGAACTTAGTTTTGAGCTGTACCCATCTACCGACTCATCGTCGAAAAGGTTTCGTACTTTGTTGTACATGGCCAGTTCTTCCGTGGTTGCTTCTACTTCATCATGCTCTAACCGGTAAAGCCAGAGACTGAGGATGACCATCAGGTCCAGACCGCACAGAGGATGTTCCACACTCCAATTCGTAGCACACGTTTCGCCGACCCATTTGATACCTTGTAGTGCGACGATCTCTATGCAGTTGTAGCATTCTTCAATGACCTTGATCATCTCTTGCGATCTCTTGACTTTGTCCCTGGCATTGGTCATGGCAGCGGCGACCTCATAGGAGTCATGATATCGGAGGGCTTCTTGGACTGACTTCAGATCGACCTCTAAACGTGCCCAAGTATTTCGATAGAGAGCCATGGCGTTGAAGATCAGTGGGTGACCTTGGTGAGGTGCGCTCAGCTGGACAACTATTGTTTCAGGCTCGCATTTTTCCAACGACTTTTCCCACGTCTCTAGGGCGAGACGGAGCTTGTACTCTGTGACCACATCTTGCAAGGCCTCGAAGTTGCGCTTGTGTTCCCACACGGCCAGGAATAGAGCATTGATCATGACTCTCGTTGCGAAGGCGCTGTATCGCGTTGCATCTCCCTGGTAAAGACTGTCAATTGCTTCTCGCACAGTGATGATGGTCGAGGCAGTCAAGCTGTCTCGCCATGAATCTTCATCCACGACTTCGAGGTTCCATAATGACTCTGAAGATGGCAGCTCCAGGGTTTCGAATTCCTTAAAACTGATAGCTGGGGTATGATCGTAGGTCAGAGTGAGGAGACCGAAGAAGATGTACACTGCGTAGTATGTGCGCCTGCACCCTTCGTCTTCGACCCATTCTGCGTGGGTGGGCTGTGCGCCTTCTCTCGCTTCTGACCGAATCTTCAATTCATACCGGTTGCCGGCGACCATCTGCAATCATCCGTCAGCAGTGTTTTTCCTAGGTGCCAGTAGCAGACATACGTTGGCAACGAGACTCTTGATGGAACCTGCCCATTCCAATCCTTTCGGATCGCCACTCCAACTGGCGAATATCATGTTCAATAGCGTACTCTGCATCGTCCACAGCGGACACTTGCGCGAGCTGAAGCTCTCTTTGTTCTGCAGGAACTGACTGACGAGCAGCTTCGAACCTATATGAAACATGAAAGCTTTGTCCTGGTTGAATGAGTATAAAGCACCAATGGAGAGGACCGAAAGAAGCAATGCTGGGGACACTTGGCTAGGCTCGAAAGACTCAAGATGTAAGAAGGGTAGATGGTGATGAAAGAGTTTGAAGTATGACTCGAGACAGGCATTGATCTCTCCTCGAGATTGAATTTCGAAATTGGGTTGGGTCGTCCGTTCGTTATCGCATCGCTTCATTGCTTCTTGCATCATGTTGTAGTCTTCGTCGGACTGAAGTTGAGGTACTTTAGGCGTCGTGATAGGTTGACTCGGACCGGGCGAGCGTCGATAATCTACAGGTGAGACTGGTCCGGTCATGAAGGGGAAGGGTGAGAGCCCGTTGGGGGTCGCGGGGCCGGAGATGGGCATGGAACCGGTAAGGGACTGAAGTCCGGGGGCGAGGGCGTCGCCTCCGGATGGGTATCTCTCCATCATTGGCGGTAGTTGATTCGGATGGGGCTGGACGGTACTGGTACTGTTGAAGGAAAGCTGCGACAATTGAGAATCTTGCGAGCCAGAAAGGCTTGAGGAAGAGACTGAAGAAGCTTTGGGTTCAATTACCGAGTTTGACATGAAATGATCCCACGGCATCTGGTTGATGGGCATGGAGCCGGGCATGCCGGGCATGAAGGGGACCGACGTATCAAACATGGTGGTGTGGTCGGGGGAGTAGGGCGTCGAGGTTTCGTCGAGTTGATCGTTTGGGTTGTTTGCCAGGGCGGCCGTAGCTTTGTGATGAAAGTTGGTAATCATCATCGCAGCAACATTATCGTCAATCATACCATCACTGCTTGCTTCTATTTGTTCCATCGTCGCCGTATCCAAGTCGATGGACGGCTTTGTGGGAGTCGCCTTGGGTGTTGGCTTTGCGCCCGGCCGTCTCTTGACTTCGCTGACCAGCGGTACACCTCCATCTTTGGCGTGTACAGTTCGGTCGTGTCGTAGCAGAAGGTCTCGTCGCACAAAGGTACTACGGCATTTTGCGCACTTGAAAGGTCGCTCTTTGGTGTCTGCGGAGGAAGATTGAATTAGCAAGCGTAGGCAAAAGGTGGGCTTCACGACCCCACCATGGAGCGACCCCTCCATCGACTAAAAGGAATGGTACGGTGTAACTTACGCGATCTTTCATGTCTGCTTCTGTGTTCACTTCGACTGAATGCCCGAGCACAGAATTGGCATTTGTACTTTTTATCAGGGACGTGTTGCGGCTTCGCAGGTTTGGGCACCGGTGCGACAGACGCTGTGGCAGTTGCAGCAGCAGGCATTGCAACACTTATCGAGTCGTCGACCAGAATGCCCCGTGTGAAACGAATGGGACTATCTGATACTGGTAGGTATATGACGATGGATTGGACGTATGCCAAACGGAATTTCCTTCGATCATGCCTTTTGGTGTCGTGGTAGGAGGAGGAGAAAGCTCGCTGGGGGATGGGGCAAGTGTTGTCTTGGCTGCTAGTCTAATCTTGTGGAGTCTAGTTGGGTTTTTTTTGTGTTTTTGGCTGTGAAATTACTTCGCGTGCTTCGACGGTTGGTTTGGAGCGAGAGATTTGATGCTATTCGAGGTGGTATATTTCTTGCGAAGAGGATGAGCGTAGGAGAATGTCAACCTTGGATAAAGATTATTGTGGACTACAATAATAATAATCATAATAATAATATTTGGAGGGGTACGCCCCCTTTTTCGAGGGGCCACTTTGTGCGGGTGAAGGCCGAAACTTCCTGCCTTACTCTGTGGATAGACTAAGGTTATGATACGACTAGCTGTCTATCCCGAAATCCTGTCTGCATGTCATATTGCTCCCCTTATCCTTGTCCAGTGCCATCTTTGTCAACGTTACATACACCTAAAACACAAGACAGGCCTTCATTGAGTGCAAATAGTGCTGTCGACGCCCAAGCACTGAATAGCTCAGAATACGGTTATTTGACCTCAGCTCGTCTGCTAATCATCGGTCGCCACATGCTCGAGGCTAGATGTCGTGAAGATCCATTCACTGACTGGCGAACCAGCGCAGAAGCAGTAACGCCATCGAGGGTGTTGACTTCATGATTGTGACCGAGCTTTAAGCGTTTCCACCCTTTCGGCTGACTGATCTGTGTGTGGCGGTGAGAGTTGCGATCCTTTTCGGGGGTCCGTGCCTGTACTCTATGGGAATAGCGGTTCTCCATGATTTTGGAGTCTCGTCTTGCCCCGAGTTTCGACCGGAAACCAAGTCCAGAA